CGTTGTGTTCGGCCTTTGGGAGCCCTCGCCGGGCCTCGGGCCCGTTTACAAAACGATTCGGGATTGCAAATTAGTCTCGGGAAGTGGGTCGAGAGCTTTGGCGCCAACGCTTTGAAAACATCATGGCGCGGCGAGGAGCGAGCGGAAGTGGAAGAGCAAGTGGGGGCATGTAAGAGCGGAGCGGAGCGACGCCATTACCAGCTACCGAAGGAGCCGTGCTTGCCGACATGCCTTTCAAGTTGTGGGTGGGTGCCGTTTTTCTCGGGTTTCGCAGCGCACATCCACAGCAGGAAGCCGGCATGCCAGTCAAGTCGAGACTTCTGGGGGTCGATTTTCTTTGATGTTTCAAACAATCATGACGTCGGGGGTCTGGGGGGGACGAGGTCGGACGGGGCCAGGGCGAGGATAGATCCGCCCCAGAGCGTTCAGGAACAGCTTTCAGAGCGTTCCGCGACGCTCTGACAATGCCGCGGCGCCTGAGACGCACTCCAGAGCCGCCGGGCCCCAGAGATTGTCGATTGTACGGCCACGTGCAGAGGGGGGTAGGCCCCCCCCCCTTCTCCGGCGAAAGTATAACGCGCCCGGCGCCCCAGAAGCGTTGCCCTGGTACCTCGCATGTTTATGTGAACGCAGACGAGTCTGCTCGCCGAAACAAGCAAACCGCCTGAGACATTCTCGCAATATGGTCCCCATGTGGTTCTGAAACGAGCGCCTCGCCTGAGACACCCTCAGGATCTGTTCCGGACGCAATGGTTCGTTGGACAAGCTGTCGTAATTATTTTGCGCGGGCGCGGTGCTAAGATAACGAGCGCTCCGTGCGGGGCGGGGGCGAGGTCCTCGGATGGACCACCCCGCACGACGGCCGAGAAAGAACGATTTGTCAATAGGGTTGGTAATCATATCGCATAGGACAAGGATGATGAAGAGGATGAGAAAATGGAGGGAGGAGGGGGGGCCCAATTGAGGGAGGATTATTCTCATCATTATTATTAGTGTTTTTATTATTACCATTCGCATTCTTACATGTTTTATGCTTACTCTTACTCCCATCATTATTTAGCTCTGCTGGAGGCGCTTGTGGTCTGCGAATGTGATCCGCCGCCGTTTACTTCGCTCAAGTCTTTCAGGGCACGCCAGCGTTTCTCGTTGAAGCGGTGCCCGACCTCGTGCGTTCCCTTCAGACTGCAGTGATGGTCCGTGCCGCGGCCGATCCCTGTCCCCTGTTTATCTGCAAGCCGACGCTGAACTGCCCACCCCTCACCTGCTCCTGCCCCGCTGGGGAGGGGCTCCTGACGGCGGCGCCTGTCTCGACCGCCTTTCTTGGTGCTGGGCTCTCGGCTTCTTGCACGGCTTCGCGGCTGGGTTCCTGGCGTCCGCTGTCTTCTTCCTCTGCGAGGTTCGGCGCAGGAGGAGGCCGCCGGCGCTTTCTGCGCTCGCGAGTGGGCAGGAGGAGGGCGCCTTCCACGGGGGGGCCGACTTCGAGGAGGCGGCGGCGGAGCAGGCCCGTTAGGCTCGGCGGGGGGCATTAGCGTCTCGCTGGCGCGATGCCGATGGCCGCTGGCAGCTTCTACCCAGCGCGGTTCAACGTGCCTGGTCGTGAGATCTGGCACGGACGGCTCGTCATCCAGGGCGCGCTCATCATGACGCCTGACGGCGACGGCTACCACGAGGACCAGGTGCTCCCCAGGGATGCTGGGGGCATCAAGCCGCTGAGCGGGCAGGGGGCCGCGGTCGACGGGATCGAGGCGGCGAGCGGCTACCGCTGCAAGCGCCTCCCCGCGGCGGCCCAGGTGCGGGGCGCGCTGCGCGAGGCGGCTGCAGGCGGTACTGGGGCGCTTCCGCACGAGGACTTCGCGCTGGAGCTCGGCGAGGGGAACGTGCTCGGGATGGCGCCTGGGCTGCTCTTCTTGCGCGACGCGCACGCGGCCCCCGTGCCCGCTGCAGCGGGGTCGCTGGTGGCCGCATCTCCGCCTGCGCTGGGGGCCGCCGCCGCGCCTCTCCCGCCTCCTGACCCTTTGGGGGATGCGCTGGCCACGGCGCTCAGGCCTGGCGCTCCTCCTGGCGCCCACGCTGGAGGCACGGCCACGCCTCCTGCGGGGGGAGCCCCCGAGCGGCGACCCGCGCGTCCTGGCGGTGGCTAGGGACTCGCGTGGTCGCCGCGACCGCTCCTTCGGCGACGCGCTCAAGGAGCTGACCGAGTGCGAGCGCGACGACTGGCCCGTTCTTGGGCCTCGGAGGTTGCTCGGGGTCCTCCAGTTCATGCTTCGGATAGCTGGAGGTGCTGTGGCGTGGCACACGCGGTGGCTCGCCGTCGCGGGCCTGGCCGAAGGCGACGAGGCGGCGAAGCAGCGCGAGACCATCTGCCGCATCCTGGAGACGTCGATGGTGTACGTCCAGCTCGTTTCACTGAGCTGGCCAGCTTCGAGTATCTGGCGCGGCAGTTGCAGCTGATCGAGGAGAGAGTCTACGACGAGAAGACTCGCAAGGCGGCAGTCGCGCTCAAGGGGCAAGGCAAGAAGGACTCCGCGGCCCAGGACGCGCTGTCCGCGGAGGTCGGCCACTTCCTGGGGATCGGAGAGACGAAGGTAACTGGTGCATCTGCCCCGCTCTGATGCAGTTCATCGCCGAGCAGATGCGGAACGAGGCGGCGGTATCGAAGGAACGACGCAAGGCGCGTGAGGAGCGCGCCTTGCGGGCGCCATGGCGCCCCCTGAGGACGCGAGCTGAGGGGCCAGCCCCAGGGCTGCCCAGCTCGCCGAGCCCCTGGCCCTTCGGGCCACCCCCTGGCTTGGGCCCCCCACAGGCCCCTCGCCTTCGCCAGCGGGGTGCTCTGCCGCTGCCGCCCCTCGACGTGGGCGACCGTCTTCGCGCCGTTAACGGTCGGCGGCCCCGCCAGCGGGCGGCTCGCGGCGCGGCCTGGCGCCGGTGGTGCAACGAGGGTATCGACGCACTCAACTGGCTCCATGATCGTGCTGGTGCGGGGCGCCTCGCTGGTGAGGACGTGGTCCGCTCCCAGGCGCAGCTTGCTGTTGTCGGAGAGCTGCAAGAGCATTACCGCCGTTTTGAGTTGCCTCCTGGGCACAGTGAGCAACGCCAGTTTTGCGAAGCATCCCTCGCAGAGGTGCTCTCGACGACCCCAGGCTACCAGAACGCCTCGCGGGTCAGGCCCTACGACAAGGCCCGCGTGGCCTGGCCTGCGCTCTCGGGGCCCCCCGTCGAGGTGGGCTCCGTCGCGCAGCAGGCCGATGCCGTCCAGTTGCAGGGTTGGAGGCAGAGTCTGCTGAGATCCGCAGGCGAGGTCGAGGAGCTTCAGGTGTCGTTAGGCGTTCAGCAACCCTACGTCGACCCTCTGCTTCGCGATCCTCGGAAGTATGCTGACCTTTTGAACGCGATGCTGCAGCGCCAAATGATCGAGTGGACTGTTGCGCCACCTCCCTCTTCTTCCTACTCCGTCCGGATTTTCTTTGTCGAGAAGAGCGGCGGCGAGCTGAGGTTGGTCTTCGACACGAGGGTGGCGAATGCCTCTTTCAAGTCTCCGCCGAACGCCGCGCTGCCTACCCCATCGGCCCGGGCCCCCCTCGAGTCGTCAGGCGACTTCTATGTGGCCCAGGGGGGCATCCAGTGCGCCTCCTACCACATGGCGGTGCCGCCCGACCTGGGGGGCTTCTTCCGCTTGCCCACGATCTCCAACCGCTTCGCGGGCCTGAAGACCGTCGGTTCCATGTGCGTGGGTCGCCACGCCCTCTTGCAGCCCGTCGTGCGGATGATGCCTATGGGTTGGAACTGGGCGCTCTATTTCTGCCAGTCGGCTCTGGCGCGCGGCATGCTCGACGCGGGGGCCCAGCCGAATCGCCGTCTCGCCGATGGAGCCGCGCCCGCCCCGCTCGTCAGTAAGAGCGGCCTGGTGGCAGCGGGGTGCGTTGACAATTTTTGCGCGGTGTCCCAGTCAGCCGCCTTGGCGACCGCCAAGGCTCGGGAGCTGGCGCAGATGCTGACCTCTCGAGGCTTTCCCGCGCGACTTCACGGAGGCTCAGACGACGGGCGTCTTTACGGGCATCCAGTTCTCGGGCAAGACAGGGATGTTGCGCGTGAGGCCCGGCCGCCTTGCACGCCTGCGGCAGGCCATCCTGGCCCTCTTGAGCCGCGGGTCTGCGTCGCGCGGGGCCTTGGCGTCCATGGTAGGTCACGCCGCGTGGGCGATGATCATGCGGAGAGAGTGCCTGTCGATATTCGATGGTGTTTATCGTTTCATTCAAGTTGCGGGCCCCGCTCCCATGGAGCTACGGCCCTCAGTCCGACAGGAACTCTCAGCCGTGGCCGCTCTGTTGCCGTTGATGTGGGCGTCCTCTCGCGTGCCTTGGTTAGGCGCCTTGCACGCGTCAGATGCCTCGCCGTACGGGAAGGGTGCGCGCATGAAAAAGCTGGGCCCCCCTCGTCGTCTCGTCCACGGGCCGCGTTGCAGAGAAGTGGAGGCATAGGGTCTCGGAGGCGATCTCTGCCAGGGCCCGTGCGTTCGAAGGCGGAGGAGGTGATGAGGGTGCTCAAGATGTTGTTGTCGGTTGCTCGTTGCCGTCGGACGTGCTGCTCGGGGAGGGGGATGTCGACTCCGTCTCGGATTTCGTCGAGGTGCCGTCGGTGCTTTACGATTCGGAGGAGTGGGCCATCAGTCGTCATCGCCGAATGGGCCTCAACATTCTGGAGCATCAGGGGGAGGCGATCTGCTTTGCTGTTTGTTACGCTGCTCGGAAAACGGGTCACCACAGGCATCGCATTCTGTTTCTCGTCGACAATTTGGCTCTGGCTCTGGGTTGCGGCAAGGGTCGCACGGGTTCACAGCACTTGCGCCATCTCCTCCGACGCTTGGCCGCCGTCAGTCTCGCCACGGGTATCTGGAGATCGTTCGATGGATTCCGAGTGAGCGGAGCGTGGCGGATGGCCCCTCGCGGGCGGGCTTCTTCCAGGGGCCGTGGAAGGACTTCGAAGTTGAGACGGGCGACCAGGTCGCCGAGTGCAGCCCAGGCGCTCGACGTCCAGCGAACGCTTCAACACCCAGGGCTGCTGCAGTTGCTGAGGGGGAAGACCTCGTTCCTCGAGAACGCCGCGGTGACGCAGCGGACCCGGGGCTCCTGCCACGCTCGCGCCGCCCGCTGCCACCAGTGGCGCACGTGGACGGGGCAGTCGTTCGCGACTGCCGCCGAGCTGGACGCACTGCTGCTGGTCTTCTTCGGGGGCCTCTGCCTGGGCGGGTTCGACACCGCGACGGGGCGCATGACGATGGCAGCCCTGCGCCACCAGTTGCCGCACCAGCTGGCGGGCCCCCGCGCGCTGCCGCGACCCTACGCGGGCTCTCATGGGCTGGGGCCGCCTAGTGCCACCGCAGATGCGGCCCCCGCTGCCGCGCTTGGCGATGCTCGCCGTGGTGGGCCCCCTTATCCAGGACAGGAGGTTCCCGGAGGCGGTCTTCGCGAGGTGGGCGTTCGGCGCCTACCTCAGGCCCAGCGGGGCCTGTCGCCTGGCGGCGGCCAGCCTGGTGGAGCCGCGCGCGGGGTCAGCGACGACGGGCGGCCCTGGCAAGACGGGGGTGACCGACGAGAGCATCGTCATCGACAACGCGAGCTTGTGGCCCCTCCTCTAGGGCTTGGAGCGCCACCGCGCTCCGAGGGATCCGCCGTGGAACATCGCGCCCTCGGTGATCCACCAGGTCTTTCGCGAGGCGTTGGTCAGGCTCGGCATCTGGGGCGGCGTCTCGACCCTCTACACACTCAGACACGGAGGGGCTTCCGACGACCTCCTGTCGGGCCGCCGCTCGAGGAGGGAGGTCAAGGACCGCGGGGGGTGGGTCGCCGATGCCCCCTTCAACCGCTATGCCAAGCGGCCGCGAATGCTGCAGCTCATCGCCGAGCTCCCGCAGTACGCGGTGGCGCTGGGCAGCGCCGTAGACGGGCGCGGGGCAGAGCTCATCTCGACGATGGCGACTACGGGAGCGTGCTCGCTGCCGCCTCTGCCAGCCGACCTGCCGCAGCGAAGCTGCCCAAGCGGGCTCGCGCCCCGCAGCTGAGCCGCAGGTGGCGCTTCGGTTGAGCAGGCTCTTCTCTCGCGCTATCTTTCGCAGCCGCGCTCTGCCGCGCTTTATCTTTCTTGTGCGCGGGGCGCACTTGAATCCCATCGATAAGGCGCGTCGCCATCAGGGCTTGGGTAGTGTTGTTTTGGACTCGAGTCGGTGCCCCACCGACGACCTGGCTGCGCCTGGGGCCCCCCCCGTCGTCCACGGCTGGGTTCGCAGCTCCTGCGTCGCGGGGGCGCGGTTTCGGCCTGGGCTCCCCTCCTGGTCTGTGTGCGCCAGGCCACCCGCCAGGTCGTCGGCTCGGCCCCTCGGGCTCCCTCGCCTTAGTCCCGGTGTGCAGGCTCAGGTCAATGTTGCCAATGCTGATGCCCATCACATGTTGCGAACGGTTCTCGTGTGTGTGCAGTGCAAAGTGCCGACGATTCTCGAGCACCCTGCCAGCAGTGCGCTGTGGCACCTCCCTTTTGTTCTACGGCTGCTCCAGTCGGCCTCGTCGGAGGCAACGTTCGACGCTTGTATGTACGAAGGCCGCGTGCATCGAACGTGGCGCATCGTTGGCTGGCATGTGAATAGTTTGCACAATCTGTCATCGCAATGCTTGTCTGCGCGTGCTAGATGTGACAGATCTCGAAAGTTCATCTCGGGTCTCTCGGGCTTCCTCACCTGGACGCGGCCCAAAGGGCCCAAGTTCGCAGGAGCCCGAAGTGTGCACGCCGTGCTTGACAGTGCACGTCGTTTAGCCGCAGTCGCCAGGATCTGTAAAGCTATCACGTCGCGTTGATGTCGGTTTTGTTTTTTTGAGGCGGCCTCGAGGGCCAGATATACCAAGCTAGCATGTGTGGTACCGTTTTGTGCCCAGCATGCTTGTGGCCTCGGAGCGCCTTCGGCCCCTTGCACAAAAAATAACGTCTGGCCTGGACCCGCCCCCACATTTAGCGCTGCAGGACGCGTTTGTGGTCTGCGAGTGTGATCCGCCGCCGTTTACCTCGCTCAAGTCTTTCCCTCCCCCCTCTCCCTCCCCTCGCTCATATGCCTCGTTTTGTGCCCAGCATGCTTGTGGTCTCGGAGCGCCCTCGGCCCCTTGCACAAAACGTAACGTCTGGCCTGAACCCGCCCCCACATTCTTATTGTTATAGCTCTTATTTTTGTTAGTATTATCATTATTGTTACTCGCGTTTCATCCTTAGTCTGATTCGTATTCCAATTCCAATTGGGATACCACCCGAGCCGGGGCGCGGGAATTATGTATTATCGTTCCATTTGCGCGGTGCGAACCCTATCGTTCGGGGAAAACCGCCCCCCAGAATGATTGAATTACGGTGCTGTGCTAATAATATCCCCTGGGAGAACCTTAATGGCTTCCTGAGGTTACAGATGTAGGGGCGGCGCCTTCTGAGGAGCGGCCTTCCCCCCTCCTCCTACCGCCCTTTGCGCGCCGCCAGGATTTCCAGTCAATCCGCATAGTAATGATGAGCAGTTTTCCAAGGCTACCCTTGCATCCTTGCCCTTTCGGCCCTCCTTACCGCGCATACGATTTGACTGTACACTTTGCGCGCCGCCAGACCTTGGGAAGCAGGCCTCGCCGGCTCGGCCCTGGCTGGCCGTCCGGGCCAGTTAGCGGGTATTGGCCCTCGGGGGCCGCCGCGCAGGCTGGGGCCCGTGCCGCTGATACGGTGTTCGAAGGCCCCGACGGCGGCGACGTTCCGTGGGGCTGCCCCACATGCGCTCGAGGCCGCTGGGCGAATGGAGCGCGCAATGAGGCTCAGCCACGCGCGGAGGGGTATGGGGGGAGGGGGGGGCTTTTTAGAAACACGTCTGCTTCTTGGAAAGAGCGGGCCCTATCGATGTAGGGCTGGCGCCTTCTAAGAATCAGCCTCCGCCTAAGAAGCCCCCATCCCTCCACCCCCTTGTGCGCGCCGCCACACAGACACAATGACTCGTCGATTTCCCAGAAAATATAGGAAAATCTGGGAAGTGGGGGGGACGACGAGCACCCATGAAACATGGGAACATCTGGGGAATCCTGTCATTTGTGTGTATTGATTTGTGTGTCCCTGGCCCCTTCAGAGAGGCGCTCTGTGCGCGCCGCCAAGAGTCAGGCCGACCGGAAGGGGGGGAACGGGAGAGGGGGGGGGTACGAAATCTGCTGAACGCAGCTGGTTTCGGCCCCGCCGCAGGGCCCATCCTCGATACATGGGCGCCTCCTGGCGAGGCGCTGGGAAAATCAGCTACGTGAGCTGATTCTCTACCCTACCCTTTGCTATCACCCCTTTTGTCCCCTCCGAAAGAGGCGCTCTGGCGGAGGGGTCCTCGATGCTGTCCTCGTCCCTGCTTTTCGTCCTGCGGAGTGGGGCAGGAGGCACCCGGAGAGGGAGCGGCCCGCGGGGAGGGGCGGGTGGCCGTGATGGGTCTGTTTTCCACCACCACCACACTAAGTTGGATGGGGGGAAGGAGGAGGAAGAGGAGGAGGAGGAGGACGACGACGACGAGGAGGGGGACGAGGAGGAGGAGGAGGAGGAGGAGGAGGAGGAGGAGGTGGTGGAGGTGGTGGAGGAGGAGGAGGTGGTGGAGGAGGAGGGGGACCCCATCCCCTCCAACTTATGGTGGTGGTGGTGGTGGAAATCAGGCCCATCGGGCCGTGCTCGAGTTGGGGCCTGTCGAGGCCAGCTGGAACTACTCGTCATGGCGCCAACAGGAAGTCGGGCCTGTCCCTCTACAGGGGGAATGTTCAGAAATAATAAAAAAATAGCCTGGGGACGATTTTGTTTGCCTATCTTTGACCATTTTGGGAGTCTTTTTACCTAACAGCGAAGACTGATAGGTTTCTAGTTGACTCAAAAGAGCTCACAGATCACTCCACAGGGGGGTCCGGGCAGGCGTTGGGAGTTGCCGGCCGGGCCTGTGCCGGGCTCGTTTTTCACCAACAGTCACACACTCCGTGCTCGTCGACCTCTCAGAACCCCATTCCCAGGCCACATTCTGAATAACCGGATGCAACAGTCACACACTTGCTGCTCCTTGACCTCCCAGAACGCCATTCCCGGGCCACATTCGGAATAGCCGGACGCAACAGTCACACAATTCCTCGTACTTGACACCCCAGAACTCCATTCCCGGGCCACATTCTGAATGCCCGGAGCCAACTGTAGGCCACTTCGTGCTCTTCGAGTTCCCAGAACTCCATTCCCGGGCCACATTTTGAATGCCCGGAGCCAACTGTAGGCCACTTCGTGGTCTTCGAGTTCCCAGAACTCCATTCCTGGGCATGATTTTGAATGCCCGGAGCCAACTGTAGGCCACTTCGTGGTGTTCGAGTTCCCAGAACTCCATTCCTGGGCATGATTTTGAATGCCCGGAGCCAACTGTAGGCCATTTCGTGTTCTTCGAGTTCCCAGAACTCCATTCCCGGGCCACACTTTGAATGCTGAGGCAGGCTGATGCTGAGGCTGAGGCAGGCTGAGGCAGGCTGAGGCTGAGGCCGAGGCTGAAGGCAGACTGAGGCTGAGGCTGAAGCAGGCTGAGGCTGAGGCTGAGGCAGGCTGAGGCTGAGGCTGAGGCAGGCTGATGCTGAGGCAGGCTGAGGCTGAGGCTGAGGCTGATGCAGGCTGAGGCTGAGGCAGGCTGAGGCTGAGGCCGAGGCTGAAGGCAGACTGAGGCTGAGGCTGAAGGCAGGCTGAGGCTGAGGCAGGCTGAGGCTGAGGCTGCAGGCTGATGCTGAGGCAGGCTGAGGCTGAGGCTGAGGCTGATGCAGGCTGAGGCTGAGGCAGGCTGAGGCTGAGGCCGAGGCTGAAGGCAGACTGAGGCTGAGGCTGAAGCAGGCTGAGGCTGAGGCTGAGGCAGGCTGAGGCTGAGGCTGAGGCAGGCTGAGGCAGGCTGAGGCTGAGGCAGGCTGAGGCTGAGGCTGAGGCTGATGCAGGCTGAGGCTGAGGCAGGCTGAGGCTGAGGCCGAGGCTGAAGGCAGACTGAGGCTGAGGCTGAAGCAGGCTGAGGCTGAGGCTGAGGCAGGCTGAGGCTGAGGCTGAGGCAGGCTGATGCTGAGGCAGGCTGAGGCTGAGGCTGAGGCTGATGCAGGCTGAGGCTGAGGCAGGCTGAGGCTGAGGCCGAGGCTGAAGGCAGACTGAGGCTGAGGCTGAAGCAGGCTGAGGCTGAGGCTGAGGCAGGCTGAGGCTGAGGCTGAGGCAGGCTGATGCTGAGGCAGGCTGAGGCTGAGGCTGAGGCTGATGCAGGCTGAGGCTGAGGCAGGCTGAGGCTGAGGCCGAGGCTGAAGGCAGACTGAGGCTGGCTGAAGCAGGCTGAGGCTGAGGCTGAGGCTGAGGCAGGCTGAGGCTGAGGCTGAGGCTGAGGCTGAGGCAGGCTGAGGCTGAGGCTGAGGCTGAGGCAGGCTGAGGCTGAGGCAGGCTGAGGCTGAGGCCGAGGCTGCAGGCAAACTCAGGCTGAGGCTGAAGCAGGCTGAGGCTGAGGCTGAGGCAGGCTGAGGCTGAGGCTGAGGCTGAGGCAGGCTGATGCTGAGGCAGGCTGTGGCTGAGGCTGAGGCTGATGCAGGCTGAGGCTGAGGCAGGCTGAGGCTGAGGCCGAGGCCGACGGCAGACTGAGGCTGAGGCTGAAGCAGGCTGAGGCTGAGGCAGAGGCAGGCTGAGGCTGAGGCTGAGGCAGGCTGATGCTGAGGCAGGCTGAGGCTGAGGCTGAGGCTGATGCAGGGTGAGGCTGAGGCAGGCTGAGGCCGAGGCTGAAGGCAGACTGATGTTGAGGCTGAAGCAGGCTGAGGGCGAGGCTGAGGCAGGCTGAGGCTGATGCAGGCTGAGGGTGAGGCTGAGGCAGGCTGAGGCCGAGGCTGAAGGCAGACTGATGTTGAGGCTGAAGCAGGCTGAGGGCGAGGCTGAGGCAGGCTGAGGCTGAGGCAGGCTGAGGCTGAGGCTGAGGCAGGCTGAGGCTGAGGCTGTGACTGCGACTGCTGTTGCCACTGCGACTGCCATCGCGAATGCGACCACGACTGCGAGAACAGCAGAATTCTACAACAAGATTCTTGTCTGAATCTTAAGGGGAATGCTTCCAGATATGCTCCTACACATCGCTGTTAGGTTGCGTTGCCGGGATAATTTTTACTATTTTCCATCTTTCGCTCAAAATCCGCCTGTAGGGGGACAGGCCCGACTTCAGACTACTCGTCATGGCGCCAACATCGCAGAGCGGATCTCGTTCGGAGAACGATAGGATGGGCCCAGAGTGTCCTGGAGAGTTTCGTTCCGGATTTCGATGTGAAAATTTCGTCCGAATCTTTTTGGCCAGGAATGAATACCAAGACACATCCACGTGAAATCAATTTAGTTTTTCACTCCCCGTTTCGGTGTTTGCACTGGCAGAAATCCACACAAAAATCTGCTCCAGTACGTCTGCAAGGTCGGTGCAATGATAGTCGGGGGGCCTGTCGAGGCCATCTGGGACTACCTGTGGGGGCATCTGTGCGCAACCCGAAGCCGTACCATTGCAAAATGCTGCACAGTTCTGCAGCCGTCGGACCGACTGCTGCAGTTTGCCGTCGGCCATGCGGCACGTGCCGGCCGTGAGCTTCATATCGGCGGTTCAAAGACGAGGGCCTGAGGGGTGTGGTCCCGGGGATAGGAAGGGTCCAGGGCTGGATTTCCGTGTTTGGTTGCTGCTTGACGGTCGTGGACCTATAGGTCCACGTCCGTCAGACGCCCATGGCCTCCTCCTCCTCCTCCTCTTCCTCCTCCTCCTGGTCTCCTGGACTGCAGGTCAAGAATCAGTCGGCCAGGGATGCGAGCCGTCCCCCGCTCAGAGTCGGCCCAACGGCGGAGGGTGGAGGCGGCGCGCCCTACGTGATGTTCGGCGACGGCTCCGTGGCGTGCAAACCGATCAGCGAGGAGGACGGCGGTGCCAAGGGCACCCGTGCAGCTCACTGCCCTCTTCCCAGGCCCCCTCGCGTCGTAACACATTATTTAATCGCTTCGCTCATTCCGCCGGCCCATATTGTCGCACCGTTGTGGGCTAGCCGAGTTTGGGGGCCTCTTGGGGGCTGTTTTGGGGCCTCTTGGGGCCTCTTTTGGGCCTCTTGGGCGCCTCTTGGGGCGTCTTGGGGGCCTCTTGGGGGCCTCTTGGGCCTTTTTGGGGCCTCCTGGGCGCCTTCTGGGGCGGAGGGCTAGATTTTTCAGTTCTCGGTTCCCCTCTTGAGCCCCTCTTCGGCCCGTCTTGGGGCCTCTTGGTCCGTCTTGGGCGGCACTTGGGCCGTCTTGGGGGCCCTCCTGGGCCGTTCCGGGGCCGTCTTGGGAGCCTCGTGGGCCGTCTTGGAGCGGTCTTGGGGGCCTCTTGGGCCGTCTTGGAGCGTCCGGAAGCCGACAAAGCCAGAACGCAAAAAACATATAAAAAACAATGAAAATCAACGATTTTGGCCTCTTGGGGCCCTCTTCGGAGGCCTCTTGGAAGGCCCTTGGGGCGTCTTGGAGGCCTCTTGGGCTGTCTTGGGGCCCTGTTGGGCGTCTTCGGGCGATCTTTGGCCGTTTCGGGGCCCTCTTGGACCGTCTTGGAGGCTTCTTGGGGACCTCTTGGCCCGTCCTGGGGCCCTGTAACAAAACTCCGGCATCTCTGACCCGACCTTGCCGGGGACTTGCCGGGGACTTGCCGGGACCTTGCAGGGGTACTTTTCGTCCGGGGACCCCCAGGGGCCGCCCCGCGCGCGCGAACTAGAAATACTGTTAACCAGGTACCGGAGATCTTAGCACGCCCTGGCCCGTTGGGCCGGCGAATTGCCAGAGTACAGTATCCCCAAACAGGGTTTTCAAACCCACTGCGGTTTCCAAGGTCGATTGCGTGCCCGTCCAGTGCGGGCTGGCATGGCCTGTTAGAACGTGATAACATGATGTTTGCACATGAGATGTTTACACGAACATTTGTGTGACGCATGCCTATCAGGAAGCTAACGCTAGAGGATGTCGTACTCTCTCGCACCTGGTCGACGAGTAAGCTGCAGGGTCGGCACTGTGAGATGCTCCACCGCCATGCTGTAAACTCTGAAGCAACTGTAAGAGGAAGCGGGGCAGGGCGCGGAAGCGGGGGGGCATGTCGTGATGGTTCCCTTGAGATGATATCGAGAGGTACGCGGCGCACGTCTCAAAAGAAAAATCGTGACGTCTGATGTCTGGGGAGGGCGGAAGGCATCGCGCACATGACGGATGCTGAGGCGGCAGAAACGACGACGGCGGGGACGGGGAGGCGGAGGCAGAGGCGTAGCAGCGGGAGGCGGGAGGAGGGAGGAGGGAAGAGGAGCCAGGCGGGAAGCGGGAAGAGGGAGGCGGGAGAAGGAATGAGAGAGGTTGTGACCGGAGCCCTTGTGCTACGAAACGTCTCAGGCAGAACGGGCCAGACCAACTCGCGCGCAACAGATTCGATCTTCGCATTGTGAGGATGGCTCAAGCGAAACGGGCCGGACCACCTCGCGAGCGACATCTTGGAGCTCAGTATTGGAGGGATGTCTCAGGCGAAACGGGCCGGACAACCTGTCGCACACGTTCTGACAAGTCCACGTCGCAATCTCTTCCCGTTAGGTCCTCTCCTGCAACTCTTTTCCTTCCTTTTCCTCCTCCTCATCATCCTCCTCTTCCTTCTCCTCCTCATCCTCCTCCTCCTCCTCCTCCTCCCCTTCCTGTTGCCTGCTCCCTCGTCCACATCATCCTCCTCCTCCTTCTCCCGTCCATCCCGTCCATTTCCTTCTTGTCCTCCCCCGTAGCCATTTTGGCTCAAGTTCCAAACGTCGGCTCCTGCGTTTGGAGCTTGAACATAGCCGACGGGGCGGCTCAAGGCCACCGTGCATTCCAGCTCTCCGAGCTCAGCCTTTCCACGCCCGCCCGCGTCAGCCTGCGCTGGCGTCGCGGGTTGTGCTGCCGTGACCTCGCGGTCGGCGGCAGTGTGCAGCCATCACCCGCCACAGGGCTGCTCCTTTCCTCTGGTCGCTCGCAGCGGCGCCATGGCTGGGGGGCGACAGCAGCGGAGGGCAAGCGCGCAACCTTGGTATTGCAAGTGGTGCGTGCACAAGCCGTCGGGCACCCCGTGGATCAACCGCGCGGACCACATGTGGTGTGCACAGCGCGGGCTTCCCAATGGGTCGGCTTTCAAGGGGCACCCTCCTGCCAAGGGCCCGCCAGCCGCCCGCTCGCCCGCGGCTGCCAGCCCGTGCGATCGCCCTCACCAAGCAGCTGGCCGACACGCAGAAGCGAGCGGACGAGCTGGTCAAGGGGGCCGCCTCTTCGGCTGGAGGAGGAGCGCGCGGGCCCGCCGCAGGGCAGTCCGCGCCTACCCCCCCCTGGGGGGAACCCCCCACCGATGAACGCAAGCGGCTCGATGACATCAATGCCTTTTTCAAGTCGAGTCTGTTGGGCGACACCGAGATGGACCGACAAGTCCGCGCCCAATATGTCAAGGAGCGGGACGAGCTGCAGGCCCGTCTCGAAGCCGCTAAGCATCTCGAGAAGAATGCCAATGCCCTTTCCAACAAGCTCCAGGATGCCCGCAGGAACCAGGCCGCTTGCCAGGCCAAGCGCGAGTCAGCGGAGCTTGCAGTCCAGAAGGCGCAGCAGGCCCTCGAGCAGGCCCGCGAGGACGAGACGGAGCCCGCAACTGCCATCCTGGAGCTGGAGACCAGGCTGCGAGGTGTCGTTGCCCAGGGCACGCCCAGCTCCAACGGCTCGCGGCCCTCGTCCAGGCTCTCGGCGGCGGCGAGAAGTTTGCTGCCGACCTGGCTACTATGGCAGCTTGCGTTGGCAGGTTCAAGGGCGAGGCGGCCGCGGCGCAGGCCCAGGCGGCGCCTCGGGAGCAGGGCCCCGAGGCGGCGCCTGGCGGCATGCCTGGCGCGCCTGGGCCAGACATGGAGGTGGGCGAATCGGCAGCAGGCGACGTGGATGACCTCGACGCTGAGACGCGTCGCCAGCACCTCAAGAGTTGCGGCGTTGAAGTCCCTGTGCCCGCGGAGGGGGGCGATGACCCAGCGCCACTGCGGGGGCAACTCAAGAGGCAGCTCAATTCGTTCTACACAGTACACAAGAAGCTCAAGAAGGCGGCTTAATTCACGTCTTTTGGTCTGGCTTGCCACAGTGTCCATATGTCTATCAGCAGCTATGATGATGCCATTCTCTACGCATGATACCACCCCGCAGCTAGCGGGCCGCAGGCCGACGAGCCTACCTCAGCGGCCGCGCGCGCGGCGCGCGCCCTGGGCCTGGACGATCCTGACCTGGGCCCGTTCGCCCAGCTTGACGACAGCCAGGCTGAGGACAGCTCCGTCGTTGGAGAGGCACTCCCAGCTGGACTAGGGGCTGGGGCCGACCCAGGCCACAGCAGGGCAGGCGTCATAGGGTGCGCGCGGGCTGCCGCGGACGCGCGGGTGGTCGAAGCCTCCCGCAGCACCCGGCTCACCGCCGGCGCCGCCGACGGTCGGGTGGCCGATGCCGTCCGCGGTTCGAGCACTGCCTCCCTGCTCGATCAGGGGGCCCCTCAGGGTGCGGCCACGACAGGTGGGCACCCGCGCCTCAGAAGGCGCAGTTCAGACGCCCCCAACGCAACGCTGCAGCCTGCGCCTGGTCGCGGGTCCCAGCCCCTGCGGGCTAGGGAGAAGCGTGCACCCAACCAGCGGGCCCAGGAACAGCCTGGCGTGGAAGGCTTGGCGCCCTGCGAGGCGCAAGACCTTGCCGAGGGCCCGCCGAGGGTTGAGCGGCCAAGAACGCAGCAGGCAGCCCGAGCGACCAGCGCCTCTCCTCTGCCTGGCGGGGGGGGCTCGGGAGCAGCAGGCATCGCAGGCATCCGCGAATTCGACGTGCACCAGGACGGCGAGCCCGACATGAGCGGGATCGCAGACTACGGAGGCACCTCCACCCCGAGCCACTCAGGAGTCAAACCACCGCTGGCCACGGTGGGGGAGAGGGGGGGACGAGCACTCCCTGCGTCTCCCAGGGGGGGCGGCGGGGTGGAACCCACGCTGTCGCGCCCACTCTGCGGAGGATGGTGGCGGGCGTGCCGACCGTCCCCAACCCGCGCCATGACGATCCGACAGTGTCGTCTCGCGGAAATACTAGTGGTTCAGTCCGAGGCGATGCGGGATCCTTTTCACGTCGTCATCTACATTCCACGGTGCGAACAGGCATGGAGCAGCCTGGGTCTTTGAACGGTGTTCACGCGGACCCTGAGAAGCCAGAGACCCTCCCCAGGGTTTCGGTGGAGGGCGCGTGCTCACCACCGTCTACTTCTACGAGACCGTCCTCTTCGGCGGGCACGACTGCATTGTTTTCTGGCTGCGCGCAGAGCGCGCCTGAAGCTAAGGGGGGACCAGGGAGGCCATGTACCGAAGCCCAGAGCATAGCGCCAGCGGGCGGAGGCCACCATGTTCGTACCAGGTCACCTCCAGCGGCCGAAGGCGTCGCCAAGTCGGCCAGGGCCAAGCTATCAAGACATCAGTCGTTCGTCACGGTCAACACTACATCGTATGGGCCCATGCTGGATTACCTGGCGTGCGCCACTGAATGGGTCATCGCCATCCAGGAGCATCACGTTACCCCCGAGCTGCTTGCAGACAAGTAGCACGCAGTGCTTGACACGGGCTACCGTGGCCTCTGAGCCCCAGCCATCCCCAGCGACGGAGGCGGCGCTGGAACTATTGGGGGGGGGGGGGGGGGGGGCGCTGCGCTGGTTCCATCGCATGTTGGTTTCTGCCCGCCACGAGGCGAGTCGCGCATTATCACTCCTGGTCGAGCAGTTGCTTGCCACGTCAACTGGGGTGTACCTGGGGGCATGGTGGCGCTTTCTATTTACTTGGAAGACGGTGAGGGTTTGGGGCCACGCAACACGTGATATGATGTGGGCCATCATACAATATTTGTGCCTTCTGAATTCCAAGCAGATACCATGGGTGGCGGGTGGTGGCTGGAACATGGGCAGAGCTGTGCTATGCCAACCAAACTGGGCCAACGCCGTCAATGCAGTGACCCACGTGCCCACCACCACAACTTGCAGGCAGACAGTACCAGGCACGTGCGTTGACTACTCCGTCGCCAACGTATCGCTCTCCCGGAGGTCAGCGTGGACGTGGAGGCGGCCATGTTTCCCCATCTTCCAGTGCGCCTGCCTTTACTCGCTGCCCCAGTCACGATGTGGGCGAAGGTGCCGCGTGGAAAAAAGGCAGCCCCAGCGACGCCCCCCATTGGGCGTGCGAGGCCACCAGCGTTTCCGCGGCAAGCTGTCATGGAGGTTGCTGACCCGCAGGTGAATGACAGGCAGAGCCTAGTAGGACTTTGGGAGCTCGTCTCTGAGGGCATCTATTTTGAGTTTCAGTTTCTGGGGCCGCGTGGGGCCCAAGGCGGAGGCTCACCCTGGCAACTCCGAGCCCCCCTCCACTAAGTGGAAGAAGCTTGCCTGGGCCCCCCCAAGACGGCGCCCCTACCGCGCCAGCGGCACGAATGCGTGGGCCACGGCCCTCAGATGGGCCACGCATCTCGGGAAGGCCAGCAAGTTTTTGGCTGGAGAGGTCCAGCGCCTTCAGATGAGCGCCGCTGTCTGCGATCTTTTTTCCGAAGCAGTGCACCAGGATCGCCCGGGCGTTCGGTGAGCTTGCGAATTTCGTGGCTTCCGTCGCGAAAAGGAAAAAGGTCCTCGAGCAGCTTGAGCTGCCAGTGGCAGGTTTTCCCCGCCAGGGCCTGATGGTGCTCGTGCATCCTGACTTCCCGCGCGTGCTTACGCATATTTATACCACCGCCGAGGCCAGATTCCAAGGGGTTACAAATGTCGCTCGAAAAGCTCGGTTACACTTGGGCTCGCGACAGCTTTTTTTCGCAAGGCGCCTCTGTGGCTCATCGGTTTTCTCGGGCTCGGGCCGTCCAGGAGATTATAAGCGCTGGTCTGGGCACCCAGCCCCGCGCACTCGTGGAGGCTGAATTGGAGCTCTGGAAGAAGGTCTGGCTGACCCACGGCTGCACTGCTCAGCCGCTTCCCGATGGGGGCCCAGTGGTGGCCCAGCCATCCTCCCATACAGCCCTACCAAGTTCAGGAGGTCGCTCGGAGATTTAGCACCAAGACCCCGTCCGGCCCCGCCAAGACCGCGCCTGGAGCGCTTTTGCATATCTCTAAAGGGGCCTGCGAGGCCCTGGCCATGCTGTATAACATGTGCGAAGACCTTCTCGTTTGGCCCAGCGAACGGGTTTGGACTGAGTTAGTGAGGCTGGCCAAACCAAAAGGAGGCACCAGGTTGATTGCGTTAATCAACACCTTTTGCAGAATCTGGGGCACGATCCGACAGTCAGTTACTTCAGACCGGCAGGCAGCACTGGTTGCCTAGAGATTTGGGACACTCGCCGTGGGCGCAGCAGTTCGGACAGCGCGTTCGCGCATAACCGTTGCTCAGAGGTGGCCACCCTTGTCGGAGACGTCTCCATTTCAGTATTGCTTGACATGACCAAGTGTTTCGACATGATATTGCCTGTCCAGGTTTTGAGGGAAGCCAAGGAGCTGAATTTCCTTTTAAGACTGGCTTGGATGTTGGTCCAACTCTACGCCACCCCGCGAAGGCTGAGTGCCTTCGGCAGTGCGACTAACCTTTTTTACCACGTTTCAGGGCATCCTCGCGGGATGCTCGCGCGCAACAGGCATTCTTGACCTTATTACTTGCAGGGCGCTCAAGCGCCTTTCGCAAGTGGCCCCCTGCATCGCGCCCAGGGCATATGTCGACGACACTTCCATCCAGCTGGTCACTAGTGACAGGGCGGATGTTCGGTGGTTGAAGCGCGCCGCCAGCGCCATCACGCAGGAGGCTGCGGAGCTTGGTCTCTTCACGCAGCCCAAGAAGTCAGGCATCATCGCAGCCGCCAGGCGTGGGCGGCACTTCTTTGGGCAGCAAGCCGCCACGCTAAGGCTGCAGCTTCGCCCTTGGATGAGGAACCTAGGGCATGACCTTGCGGCGAGTCGAGTGATGAGGTCGCAGGAGAAGAGTCGTCTCCGTGCGCTGAAGACTAGGAGGAGAAAGTTCCCCGCGCTCAAGGGAGCAGTCGGCTGCAAGGTTTCAAGGCTAGTCAGGACAGGCGCCACGCCAGCCGCTGCGCATGGCGCAGGCGTCTCAGGCACGACACTCTGATATTTCAGGCAGTTCGCAGCCACGATAGCTGGTGGCAAGCCGCATGGCGGCGTTACGGCATACATGATCATGCACCCCGACCCGCTCTACGATCCTGTGTGCGATTGCACGCTCCACATCGCTGTAAGATATGCGGTTTGGTTCGGGGACGCACTGATTTCCGGAAAAACGCACGGTTTTCCGCCAAGGGAAATTTCCTTTGGCAGGCTGCAGAGGGCTTGGACCATCCTTCGGTCCAAGATGCGCACCAACCCGACGTGGCAGAGTGCTAAGCGACCGCTCTCTTGTACGTGGCTCTTTCTCCTGCGGATCAACTGGGACATGTGCAGCGCCCCCCACTTTCGTCGCAGACCTCGGCGACGCCATCAGCTTGCTGCATACACCGCCATACGACGTGAAGCTCGCGATCATCCAGGGCACCCAGCGGTGGCAGCACCGGCGGCTCCTGTCTCATGCATCTGTTTCCGACGGCAGCGAGCAGATTTGGCATCGTGCATTGCGGAATGGAGTCATGGCGATCAAGTCCCCCAGGCAGTCCGCAGCGCTTGCAGCCGCTTGGACTAACGCCATTCCCCCCCCCCCCGCTGCGAAGGCAGCGCAGGGATACATGGTTTCACCTCGCTGTCGCGTGTGCCTGCGCCCCAGCGGGACCTATGGCCATGTGTGGTATCAGTGCCAAGGCCTCAGTCAAGACGATCTGGACCCATACGGTGATCAGGCCCCCTAGGCACACCTCTGCCACCGTGCCGCACTGACGGCCTCAGCGATGGACGTCGCTGAGCAGCCGCAGGTGGACAGCACCTACCTTACTGTTGGCCCCCCTTCCTTGTCCCAGGCCAGTGCGCTTCGGGCCCCCAAAGCCGACCCTGAGGTGTCGCAGTGTGTGTGTGTGTGTGTGTGTGTGTGTGTGTGTGTGTGTGTGTGTGTGTGTGTGTGTGTGT